AGTCAACCCTGAGCCGGTGAGATTTGAACAGCCGAACTGCAGAACTGCAGTCAGCTGAAGTAGCCTGCAGTGCTGCATTTAACCACTGCGCCACGACTTAGGAAGGATCTGCCTTACTAGATTAAGCAGTTAAAGGGGGCAGTGGGAAGTTTATACCTTCAGACTTGCAAGATTCTGTTAATTAGACTTACTTCCAATAGGATAAAACTGATTGGACTAATTAAAGTAGAATCTAGTCTTGTTTCCTATCTCATTTGCTTGGGAGGGCTGGCAAAACAGCAATTTGGAGGGATTTATTTACTTATTTATCAAATTTATAAGCCACTCATCTTGGGGTTCAAAGTGACATTGAGTGGCTACTTGTACCGCAGGAATATGTGTACTAAAGTTTAATTAAAGCTGTGATAAATTAGGATAAAAGTGTCCTCACATCAAGCTGTGCTTCTTGACAACTTCATGGACAAATTAAACAGAGTCAAAGGCAATGCATTCCTTAGGTCTCTCTGAAGCACAAGAGCATAGTATTTCAACAGATTTAATGTAACAAAATTAAAACAATCCATATCAATGTTTTAACCCTGTTGAAAAAGAGATAAGTTAATTTCTCCAAAGTGTTCATAACACCTGAGCGCATTATTCTGTATTTCCCCTATTCCATACCACCGGAATCTTATTAAATGTGATCAACAGCTGAGCCCATTATTCTATGCTTCCCTTATACCATAACAGTCTTATTAAATAGTGCTTAAAGGAGAGAAATACAGTGCAAGTCCAATGCTCTCTGTTTTCAACCAAACTCAACCCTATCCAGCAGCAGATCCCATGGAACTTACTTCTGGGACGATATGGATAGAGTAGTAAGGTTCATGGAACAGGTTAATGGAAGGTTTGCTTAAATTCCAAAATGTCCAGTGGAAATTGAATGCATTTCCATCTCATGGTATCTTTCTTAGAGAGGAGGCTGGTTCATATGGTGGTTTCGGTCTAAGAACCACACATTTTGCAGCCGTGTTAGAGATGATGGACCAATCACATCTATCTGAGGTAAGAAGGTTGTACTCTATTTTCCCCCCTCCCCTCTCCCATCGCACAAAGTTCGGAACTAAATTTTGGGCACGAGCAACTGGCAGAATGCCCCAGGTTTCGTGCCTCCAGGAAGAGCTGCAGCCCACAAGCAAAAGGGAAGGAGATTATGGTTCCTACGGTTACACGATTATTCTAGAGAGAACAGCCCCAACAATTGTGCGCAATCTTTCAGCCCCACTGCATTTAAGCTACCATTTGTTTATTTAAACACAGTTCAACTTACTTCACCTAATGGGGCAGAACTTCTAAAAGGAAAATTGTGTTTAGCTAAGCATTTAAAAAAAAAAAAAACCCGTTCTCAGTGCTTACTCTAAATAAATAGCCCGCCAGAGTTTTCATTGGCACAATTTGGCCAAATGTATTCAATTTCCTTTAACAATATAAAATAGTCACAGGAGTTCGGGATTTTTTTTACCTTGAGAGGAAAGAGGGGAGGAGGGGGGAGAGCGGAGAGAGAGAGAGAGTGTACAAAAGCTTTATTTTATAAAATGAAATAAATCTCAGTACGGGTACCCCAAATTTGCCTTCAACGTTCTACTACTTATATATAAACCTATATAATAAAGCATTTGAAACAACATTCATATAAAAGAAAGGATATACCTTTAAATAAATAAAAGCTACTATGTACATTATACTGTACATGAGAAGAGATGTGACGTCAGTGGGATTAAGTTACCTAATATCCTTATTTTCTCCATGTAAAAAAATCAAAAAGGAAACTCCTAGCCTTAGTCTACGTTTTAACAACTAGAGTCTAGAGTGCTGGTTATTACCTATAAAGCCCTACATGGCCTAGGACCTGGATATCTCCATGACAGCCTCCTGCAACATATCTCCCAGCGCCCAATAAGATCGCACAGGGCGGGCCTTCTCCGGGTACCGTCAGCCACACAATGCTGTCTGGCGGCTCCCCAGGGGAGAGCCTTCTCTGTTGCAGCCCCGGTCCTTTGGAATGAGCTACCCCCTGAGATCCGGACCCTCCCCACTCTCCTGGCCTTCCGCAAGTCCATTAAGACCTGGCTGTTTCGGCAGGCCTCGGGCTGCTGAGCCTGACTGAACTCCAGCCCCATTATATGTTGTGTTTTTTTTTTCTGTTTTAAATTGTACTGTTTTGTTTTTTTAATCTTTTTAATCTTTTAATTGTTTTTAATGTAAGCCGCCCAGAGTCCTTCGGGATTGGGCGGCATACAAATCTATTCAAATTCAAACTCAATTCAATTGTATCTTCTTCTTTTTTGGTCTTTTAATTTTCTTATCTCCCTAAATAAATTCCCTTTGCACAGGTTTTTCTTCATGTTTTTTCTATGCTTTTCTTGAACTCTGTGACAGCCACATTTCCTTCCCCAGATGCTTACAAACGAAGTCGTAGCTAGAGGATGAGGGGAGTAGCAAGCACCCGGTTGCAGCCCAGTTTGTGGTGTGACGGACACCATACAGGAAGAACGTCAGCTCCAGGATTCTGTCGTAATGAACTGATCCTCTTCTTGGAGAAATATTGTGAAATGGTCACTCCCATTCCTCTACACTCAGAAAAGAAACATAACAAAGAATAACTGTACAATTTCCACTTTGCGACACTGTTTTTTTTTTTTGCAATCGAATCCTAGTGGCATCCGCACGATCGCACCACCATGTTCCTGTACTTTTTCAAAATAACATTGGAACTGTCATCAAAATAGAGGACAGAGATGGCGTTCAGTTTGGTTGGAGCACAACAGGGCTTTGGGACGTGATCAGGAAACATCAAGTGGACCTGAAAGTGAAAGACAACAAGATACAATGTGATTTTACTCATTCTACAATCTGTTGTAATGACTCCTACAAGGAGCAAATAATACACACTGTTGTTGTTTTTTTGGTGGAAGAGTGACAGTCATATTGTTAAAATCAGAGGTGGTATTCAGCCGGTTCTCTCCAGTTCGGGTGAACCGGTAGTGGCGGTGGCTGTGGGAGGCTCCGCCCACTCGCCCCAATGTAATGCACGAGCACTGCGCATGCGCAGAAGACGATGCACATGCGCAGAGGAGACAAAGCAAGCGAAGTGAGTGCACTCACATTTGCGTACCAGTAAGGAAGATAAGTGAATCCCGCTTCTGGTTGAAATGTTTCTGATTTTAATATTTTGCAGTGAAAAGTACATCCTGCTTTTAATAAGAAGACCAACAAACCCCAAATTTTGTGCTGTGGTGACTTGAACGTTTAGAGCAGGTGTATCCAACCTTGGTAACTTTAAGACTTGTGGACAGGGGTGGATTTCTCGCCCCGTTCCAACCGGTTCGGTTGGAACGGGGCCGGCGGC